ATTGACACTTTATGTGGTTATTGAGTTTAGAAGTGGAAAATAAAGTTAAGAGTTGTTTTGAGTAGTTTTTACTGAAGAATGGAATACATGAAATGCATGGTAACCTTGCTAGTACCATTCGGCCACTTTGTGGCTGTATGATCTAGGTATAGTTTTTAATTCAATTAAGTGCTTGGTTGTATAAATCAAGTAAAATCAAGTGTATGTTATGTATGGTGAAAGTGTGAAAACCTAAGTTAACCTCTGGGTTAAGTGAATTAGGTTAAATGTGTTAATATGTAAGACTTTAAGTATATGTCTAAGTTTGAGTATTGACTTGTGAATTGATATGAATTGGCATGAATTGGTAATTAAGAATATGTTAAGGATTATATGGACTAACTTGATGAAGAATTTTGAAATATGTATGTACGTAAGAGGATTATTCAAGTGTAAGTAATTATGTATTGACATAAAGATCATGTTTGAATAGGTGATCTTGACGATTACAAATATATGGATAACTTTAGTGATGGACGAGCGGGGTTTACAGAAAAGCTAGTTTCAGGTAAGCTTTTGGTTTCAGAGTTTTCTTCGGTATGTTGTTCCACCATAGTCCGTTTGGATGATGGTTTATAGTTGCATTCATGTAGCTCATGCATATGATATGATATGATATGATACGACAGTTATGATATGATATGATATGTATGTATGGTATATGGTTCTTGATCAATGAACACTCTATTGAGGACTTACATCCTTGGAGATTGTGTATGAACTGGTCAAAGTGAGAAATTACGTTTTGGGAGTTCATGGACTGGTCAAAGTGAGAAATTACACTTTGGGAATCATAGACTGGTCAAAGTAAGAAATTACGCTTTGGAAGTCTTATGTTATATGATGTTATGATGTAATAAGAAATAGTATAAAGTAAATATGATATGTCGCTATGTGATAGGTTATAAGGGAATATGTTATGTTATAGTATGTATAGATTTGGAGAGTATAGGTGTGGATTCCTTTGCGGGATATAGCCCCTAGGAGTATATGTTTATGTTAAGATCTCCTTTATGGGATATAGCCCCTGGGAGTATAAGTATAGATATATGTTATGATCTCATTTGCAGGATACAACCTCTGGGAGTATAAGTATAAGTATAGGTATAGGTTAAGATCTCTTTGTGGGATACAGCCCCTGGAGTATAGTTCCAGAAGTCTTATGTATGTGTATGATATATGATGTCTTCTATGCTATGTTATCTGACATTTATGCAGGAAGCGATCTCATGGGTGGAGACTACTCCATAAATCCCTGAATTTACTGAGATGGTATATCAAACCCTTATACTTACTTTTCAGGTATTACAGATGCAAGAGAGCCCTCTCAGGGCAAGAGACCAGTTCAGGATGGCTAGAGAATAGCTAGAGCAGTTAGCTAGTGTAGCATTCTGGAGCATCACTATATATGTATATGTTTTGTTGAGTATGATATGTTATGTTCATTCATATGTACAATATGGATTTCTATTTTGAGAGGCATATGTAGCCTATAGATAATTGTATTCAGATGACATGATTATGTATAAGCATGTATGTTGTTAAGTAGGTTGATATCAGTAGTGGCACAGAGCCATATTCTGGTATGTATGTATATATATGGATTGGACTTTTCTATTTATAAGGTGTTATGTATGATAATGGGATTTGATCCCTGGATTAGTCCAATTTACAGCTATTATGCTGTCCGTAAACACTCTATTCAAAATGGTATCTGTTATCATATTCGGATAGTAATTAGATCATTAACTATGGTCACAGGTTTATTAAGTATGGATTCTATGCAGGTATAAGACTGTATAGATTATGTTATATTGAAAAATGAATTATGCATGGCGATACATAAAGATAAATAAAAAGGAAAAAAGTCAAGTCACCTAGTTTTTTTTAAGCCACAGTTAAATATTTGTTTAAGTCTTCCGCTTTAAAATTTAATTATTCTGCGCTTTAAGTACCATATATGAGTTAACAAACTCGCGGCCGACGAGGTGTTACAATAACAATCATTATTGTATCATTTAATGCATATGCATAATCATGCAACTCATAAATCACACATTAAATTATTGAATGCTTAAATTGGTTATTGAATAACATTTAACCATGCATGAAACAATTGTAACGATTATGAGATTTAGTAATATATAAAAAATCGTAACGATTATTTAATGATGTTTTTTATATTATTTGATGAAATTTAATCATACATAAAACAATTGTAACGATTTTTAAATGACATTCAGTTATACTAAAATAATAATAACCGACACATCAATGCATTCAGTATCTTTTCAAATGCTATTCATATGAATTTTTTTATCATTATTATGTCTCAAGAAATTGCATAACAATTGAGTTAAAATATAAAACACATACCACCATAAGAATCGAACACATGTTTCATACAGGGAAGACTGTCGCTCGAACCAACAAGCCATATGATAAACATTATGAATGCAAAAACTCAAATCCAAGTTCAAAACATTACAATAGTTCAATCTCAATTGGAAAAGTAAACAAATGGTCATCAAGAATAAGAAACCAAGAAAACCTATGATAATAGACATTGATATTGTTGCAAACTATATGAATCTCATCCATAACTATAAACAAAAGTAATAATTGCAATAAATCATATATGATCAAAAGTCACAAACAAATAATATATGGTTAGACACTTACAATACGCAATTTGAGTATAACTGAGAAAATTATATTTCTATCAAGAAAACATATTTTTATAAACACAAATAGAACAATCCAATTTGAGTTTTACAACAAGCAATTACTATAATAAATAAAAAGGGTAAAACATGTCCATAACCACAAATTGAATATATTTTAATTCATTATCAAATAGGGCATCAATTAAAAATATAGTTGTCATTGTCAAATAGTGGCATAACATATCTTCAAGTGGAAATGACCTAGATTCTATTACTTTACTTCATTGATATATATTACAACAATTTTTATTACAAATATATGCATATATTGTTTCCATCTTTTGCGTAGAAAGTATTGTAAAATAGTTTGGTCCATGACATGAAACCGTCAATTCTTTAGAAGAATATGCACAACTACACTCACAAATCATGGTTATATTTTTATTTCATCATATGTTTCATATGAGACATGGTAGTAAAGAAAATTCAAGTAGATCAATAGATACAATTTAGGAAAACAGAAAAATTACCCAATTCCCTTTTGTCGAGAATAATATATAACTTGACCACGACTAGAATAATATATAACACATCTTAAAATAATCATGAGAGGATAACACGCATTTAAGAAATTGTTACTACAAAACAATTAAAGATCAATAATTTTATAAAACGTAAGAATAAAACTATTGATTCAAAATTGAATGTAAGTGGAAGAACACGAGCATAACGAGGGTCTTACAATTCATGACTTCACATACATGACTTGAGGAATTAGTTTACTAACCTTTCTCCATAGTCATTGAAAAATCTAACTTTGTTTATGGAAAACTTTTTCTCAATCTCTTCACCTTTTTATGTGTACCCTTAACACCCAAAGCTTCATTATGATAGAAGAATTGTATGGGCGGAACCGTGCGGATAACATGTTGTAAAATAAAGGTAACTACAAAATAGCCAAAGGTAAAGTAAATAACTTGAAAAGGAATAACCTGAAAAAAAATTTAGTCTAGAGAGAAAGGTAGAGAAAAATCTTCTCGTATTGTAGTGTCTATCGACAAGATCAGTACATCAGCTCTATTCGTAGACTCTTAACTACCATGTATTACAATGAAATAAATGATACAATTAAATCCTCCTAATTGTATATTATTAACTTATAGGAGTTACAGAAGTTGCATATTATTTTTTTAGGGTTATAGACATCGATATAGTTATACAATTTTATTTTTTTCAGTAATTTTTTGTAACATAGTAGGATAGCTAATGGTAGGGTTGGCAAAACAGGCCAACCCGATCCAACCCGCATGCAACCCAAAAAAATGAGTCGGGTTAGAATTGGCTCGAAAAAAAAAAAAGAGCCAGAAAACTCAACCTAATCCGAGCCGAGCTGAGTTAGGGTTGGCTCAAAAATATGACTCGTGGGTTCGTTCGTTTTCAGCCTATTTAAATGAAATTGTAGTATTAATGCACCAACTATGCGACTTCCATCAGCTTAAACAATACAATTGTCTTACAAAATAGTTTATAAAAAAAAGCAAGATAGAAAGTTACAGAATGAGAAGTAAAAGCAAAATGTTCTAGTTTCAAATTTTCTTCATAATAAATTTGCGCCAACATCGAGAAACAATCAGAACCACTTGTTACCAAGTGGGTAAGATATTTGAACCAAACAGAGCTAGCACAGCCTAACAATATAAAAATGACAGAGATGCGAAAAAATTAATGACTTAGGTTTAAAGAAGGAAGAAAGACGATGGCAACGTGTGTGAGTTTTATCCATTTTTTTATATTATATTGTATTTTTTTATAAAAAAAAACTCAATTCACGAGCTAGTCTATTTGACCTGCGGGTTGACTGCTCATTTTTACTAACTCAACTCGATTCATTTTTGGCAAGTTACGAATGAACCTGAGGTTGACTTATTTCTGCCAACGGTGAGTAATGGGAATAGAGGCTAAATTCTAGCACATGTGCTGCTAGTTATGTTTGGTAACTCTAAGTCCAACCAGGAAGCAATTGTTGCGAAAGTTTTAATATACTACTATAATATCTACGTCTGCGCAATAAAAATACAATATTTGTATTGATATATTTCGTGAAGAGAGATAAAAATAAATAAATTATACCTATATATTTTTCAGAAATATATAACCTATAATTTTATTTTGAACCGAAGTTGTAATCAGGGGAGTCGGCAATAGGGTAATAGCAAAGATGTTATTCAATTGTTGGTAAAATTAGACCCACTATCCATAAATTGGCTACAGAGATATTTTTCCAAACTCTCTTTTAACATCTTGTTATCCATTCCCGCCTTCCACCCCAAACCACATACAACACCCAACCGGAAAATGACCCTCCGTCTCCTCTCAGCTCCGCCGTCCTTCCCTCTCTTCACCTGCCACGCCACCACCAACACCGCTGCCGCTGCTGCTGCCCGCCCCCTCCCATCTCCTCCTCAAATATCGTCGTCACCGAGCCTTACTTCTTCAACTCAACAGCCCCCACCGTTAACGTGCGCACTTCACTGCCCCCACTTCCAATCGTACGCTTCACCCTTTCCCTTCCTTACTTATCATGCACTGAAATCCACTTACCGTTACTTATTACTCTCTCTTTTTTTCTCCTTTTTGAAAATTCTAAACAAATTATCCTCTTTTTCACTTGCTAATTTATTTAATAATTATTTATTTAATTGGTTTCATTTCAGGTGCTCGGGGTGCACGCACGAGTTCAATCTCCACCGTCCGGTTATATTGGACGAGGTTACCGATTTCTTTGAGAAACACGGCGTATCCGACTTCACATTTGATACTTGCAAACTGGTATCTATCTTTGTTTAACCCTCTTCTGAAATTCGCAAAATCTATTCCATTTTTTTTTCTTTTTTTTAAAAATGGTTTTGGTTTTTTGTGATTCTGTTTGAAGTGGAATTGGAGGTGCCGTGCAAAATTGGCCGTGCGTGGCTCTTCAACCAACCCTCTCATTGGGCTCTATGAGGAGGGTACTCATAACGTAGTTGACATTCCACAATGCCAAGGTCCAAAGTTTAATATATAAGGTTTTACTTAGAATTAATTTTTCTTGCAATCTCTTACAACTATTTTTGTTATTATTGAATTAAAATCAAATCAACATTTACAAATTGAGATCTGACCAACTAAGAATCATTGATTTGATTTTGATCCAACAATAACAAAGTTGCTATAAAGAAAAAGATGTTGTAAGTATAACCTATATCTTAATTATGTAATTCTTTGTTTATTTGGCTGTATGTGTTAGTGTGTGGTTTTTTATTATGTTCCCCTTGAATCGTTAGTGTTGTCCCATGTGACTGAGTCACAGGTTTGGTTCATGTAATAAGCCTCTTGCAACTACCGTGCGCATACCTAGTTCCTCTCTTTTATGTTTTCCTTTGTTGACATGAAATTGTGTTAATAATGCCAGTGTGTAATGTCTTCTGTGCGCAGCTCACCATCCTAATATTAATGCTGCCGTGGAGCTACTTAGACAAGGTATTTCCTTGTTTTGTTATTAACTGTATGTTTATTTTATTTTATTCTTCAATTTATTTATTTGTGTGGTTTTCCTCGGTGTCATCCAGGTATTGCTGAATTAGATATTGAGCCATATGTTGAAGATGAAGGTACTGGCAATTTGCGATATGTCCAGGTGAGCTGTTTATAAGAAGATCGAAAAGGGTAGATGATGAATTATGTTAACAGTTAAAGTTGTGAATTCGGGAAAATTAACCAATGGTGGGTGGGTGTTTGCAGATGGCTGTGACAACATACAACACCTCTCTTCCTTGGGCAGAAAGATATAAGAATGGTTACTTCTTAGTTCTTGCTCATGAATTATGTGGAGAAAAAAGGAATTGGTATTTTCTTACTGTTAATGGAATTGTACTTAGTTATTTCCCTTTAGTTCATTTAAATTACATGATTTCAGGAAAGGTTCAGGTTACTTTGGTTTGGAATTCAAAAAATGAAAACACGCCCAGTTCAGGAAAACTGAATGCATTAGCAAATGTCAGCTTGTTGCTTCCTTTCTATCATATTTGTTATAACTGTTATAAGAAATGGTGGGCCATGGAGCATATGATGGTTCATGTTTGATTGCAGTTTTTGTGGAAAAATGGTGGGCCACAGAGCAGGCTTCATTTAATTCATTCCGTGTGGGCCAACTTTCAGATCTCTACTGACAATGTGAGTTTAAATTGTTTTTACGAAACAAATGAATGGTTTGTATTCGGTGAATATTAGAGTAGATAAGGTGTACAGCTGTACACAGGGTCAATTTTGTAATTAGCAAATTAATTCAGTTCAGTTAACTGATTATAGTTGTAACTGAACTAGATGATGTGGCATAATTCTGAGGTCTATATTAGACCATCGTGTAACACTTTTTCACTTTAATGAACTATTCACTCTCTCTCTCTGTTCACTCTCGTTTTCCTCTTCTCTCTCTCTCTGATTTCTTTGATGGTATTAGAGCTTCAGTGACCATAAGGTCACGAGTTTGATCCTCACCGCCTCCCACTTGTGGAATTAAATAATAATAAAAAAAAGCACAAAAAGGTAAACCAAGATTTGGGCCTGTGCAATATCCACACTTCAAGTCCAAAGGGTTCTTGTGTGAGGGGGTGTGTTAGAGAATAATATAAATCATTAAAAAGGCCCTCACCCAACAATCACAAGTTGGATTTTAGAAGCAGTGAGTGCATTTTCCTTGGCTATTCTCCTACTCACAAAGGCTATAAGTGCTTGAACTCATCTGGCAGACTGTTTGTTTCTAAGAATGTTCTTTTTAATGAATCAAAATTTTCCTATCCACTTTGGTTCAATCCATCTTCCATCACTGCTACAAATAATTCATCTCCACCTGTTTTTAATTTGATTCCTTTAGTGACATCAACAATCAAGTCTGATGCTCCTGTACATCCATCATGCTCACCATCCCAGCAATGTTCAAACATTCCAAGTTCTCAAGCATCCAACAGCAACACCTCAACACCAACATGCCCCTTAGCTCAACCAGCATCCTCCCCATCATACTCGAGTCCTGTTTTATCCTCAGGCATGTCATCTTCAAACAACAACAGTTCTACCCCTCTGTCAACCTCAACTGCTGTCCCTTCAGGTTCAGGTTCTCCTATTCCTATTTCTTTCAGTCCTTCTTCTTCTTCTTCTGGTTCAAAATATATTCCCTCTGAACCTCTCAACAACTCACCAACTCACTCTATCACTTCCCTCTCAAAAACTGCTCACAAACCACAAATTTTGTCAACCTCTCTTGAACCTGTCACAATCAAACAAGCCTTGGCTAATACCAACTGGTTTTCTGGTATGCAATATGAAATGAATGCACTACAAGCCAACTCCACTTGGTCTTTAGTTCCTCTTCCTCTCAACAGAACTGCCATTGGTTGCAAATGGGTTTTTCGAGTTAAAGAAAACCCAGATGGCACCCTCAATAGATATAAAGCCAGATTGGTAGCAAAAGGATTCCACCAGCAAGCTGAATTTGATTACACAGAGACTTTTTCTCCAGTGGTAAAACCTATTACAATCCGAACTATTCTCACTGTTGCCATCTCTTTTGGCTGGACACTAAGGCAACTAGATATCAACAATGCCTTTCTCAATGACACTCTTGAAGAAGAAGTCTACATGCAACAACCTCCTGGCTTTGAGTCTCCTAATAAATCACTTGTTTGCAGGTTACACAAAGCACTTTATGGACTAAAGCAGGCACCAAGAGCTTGGTTTGACAAGCTAAAAACTTCTCTACTGCATCTTGGATTTATTGCTAGCAAATGTGATCCCTCACTGTTTATCTATAGGAAGTCAGCCCAATGTGTTTTTCTCTTGGTTTATGTTGATGATATAATCATCACTGGCAGTGACTCAATTTTTATTCAGTCTCTAATTCAACAACTTCACTCGGAGTTTGCTCTTAAAGACCTTGGGAAACTTGATTTCTTTCTTGGTATTGAAGTTCAGAGAACACCTTCGGGAGCATTGATCCTTACTCAATCCAAATATATAAAAGATCTACTCAATAGAGCTCAAATGGCAGAGGCAAAAGGCATTTCTACTCCACTTCAATCTGGCTGCAAATCTCTAAATATGGGTCCAACTACTACTCAGATCCGTGTTTCTACCGTTCCATTGTTGGGGCTCTCCAATATGCTACACTTACTAGGCCTGAAATCAGCTACTCAGTAAACAAAGCCTATCAATTTATGGCTCAACCTCTTGAAGAACATTGGGCTGCTGTCAAAAGAATTTTACGTTACTTAAATGGCACCTTACATCATGGTATGCTGTTACAGCCATGCAATCCCAGTCATTTATTTTCTATCACAGCGTTCTGTGATGCAGATTGGGCTAGTGACCCTGATGATCGAAGGTCTACTTCAGGAGCATGTGTCTTTTTTGGATCCAACTTAGTATCATGGTGGTCCAAAAAACAAAATCTTGTTGCTCGATCTAGTACAGAAGCTGAGTACCGCAGCCTTGCTCTAGCTACAACAGAAGTTCTCTGGCTCAAGTCTCTTCTTCATGAGCTTCAAGTTCAGTTTAGTATTCCCCTCATCCTTTGTGACAACCTGAGTACAGTCTCTCTGTCTCACAATCCGGTTCTTCATGCCAGGACTAAGCATATGGAATTAGATATCTTCTTTGTCAGAGAACGTGTTCTTACTAAAGAAATATAAGTTTGCCACATTCCAGCCATGGACCAAGTTGCTGATACTCTTACTAAAAGCTTATCTGCCTCACAGTTTGCTGTGTTGAGGGACAAAATCAGGGTGGTGGATTCTCTCAATTATCTCCATTCACCCTGAGTTTGAGGGGACATATTAGAGTAGATAAGGTGTACAGCTGTACACAGGGTCAATTTTGTAATTAGCAAATTAATTCAGTTCAGTTAACTGATTATAGTTGTAACTGAACTAGATGACGTGGCATAATTCTGAGGTCTATATTAGACCATCGTGTAACACTTTTTCACTTTAATGAACTATTCACTCTCTCTCTCTGTTCACTCTCGTTTTCCTCTTCTCTCTCTCTCTGATTTCTTTGAGTGAAAATGAAAAATGGTATGCTGTATGTGATACAGCCATACAGGGAAGATGAGTGTTCTAGTTGTATTTGGGATGGAAGGAGGGTGCTTGGTTCTTGTTTTGTACTACTTTTGAATACAAATCATATTAGTGCTTGAAATTTAAATCAGAGATATTGTTGATTCAGTATGGTCAAATCTTCATTTTTTTATTTGTTTTTTGGGTGAAAAAAGTAGTGTTATACAAGTTCTCCCTAAACATTTTATGGTGGGGAAAAAGGCTGCATGAGAGCATAGGGTCTTAAATATTATTTTTGTGACTGTATATCATGTTGGACTTTGCAACTTAGATTACCTTTGCAAATGATATCTCATAAACTGCAGGTTGGCAGGAAAGATGTTGATAATACATGTTTGAGGGGTAATCTTTGGATGCTGAAATCCTGAAACTTGATATCTCCACTTTAGATATTATGTAAAATAAGCTATTTTTATCTAGGATTCCTTGTATGCAGGTCTTGCTAACTTTTTAGACAATATATGATTACTTCATCATGCACGAATGATTGTTTTTATCAAAAGATTCATGCCTTCAAAATGCTTTCTTGATATCTCAGATAATTTTTGGGAATAAATGGAAACATCTTATTGGAGAAAGAGATTTTTGGGAACACGTAGGTGGAATTGATGTGTCCTTGGCCCCTTCTAGTTTTGGACAGGCAAACACACGGGTAAAGATTCTAATTCAGTGAATCATCATAATTTTCATGGCAATCAGGAAATGCATTTAATCAATCTTTTGAATTAGTTACTAACGAAGCACAGACCCAAGACACAAATACACACACACACACTACATATTGTGTCAATAAATAAATTGTGATACATGTGTACATACATGCATATGGTATTGATACATGAAGAAGTATATGAAAATATATCTAAAATATGCTTAGTATGTGTTAGAAACATATTTAGGTGTCTTACTAGTGTTAAATTATAATATAAATGCTTCTTTTGTTCCTAAGAGCATTATACAAAGGTCTCAGATTGTCAAGTGTCTGGTTTGTGTTGAACACAATAGGCTCTGTTTTCAAGGGCTTGTGCGAAGTATTGAACCAAAAGGAAAATCACATTAATATTGAGGAGCTCTGAGATGCATGAAACCTGCATTATGTGTGTGCGTATGAGTGTGTATCTAGTGTTCTTGCATCACTGAAGGCTAATGGGAGGACTGATGTCTCCTGTCTTGCTTCCTCCTTCTTCCAGGCTTTTGATGCCTTGCTTCGGAAGTTACAGAAATATGTTCCACATGGAGCATCTGTTGCTGATTTGTATGCTGGAGCTGGGGTCATTGGTTTGTCATTAGCTGCCACAAGAAAGTGCAGGCAAGACCTGGATGGCTCTAAACCTCTAAAATGTTATATCCTAAACTTTTGCTACATAGTTGATTTGGAGGATTTATGTTTCTAGTTGTCTTACAGATCCATTAAATGCATTGAGATTAACAAAGAGTCGAAGGTATCTTTTGAGAAGACCGTTGAACGTTTGCCTGCCACCACTGACAGCAGCATCACTTGGCACCATGCAGATGCTTCAAAAGTTAGTACTGAATATCTGAAGCCTCATCATATATTTCACGTTTTAACTTTTGACATTTTCCCCCCGTTTCATAGAACTATTATTACTACGACTTAAACTTTGGTATGCATATTTCTTTCATCAACCTATTTGAAGATTTTATTTGGAAAGAAAGGATAATATTTTTAATTCGAAGAGAGAAAGCATAGTGTTTCTCAATTTTTATCGTTGTCATGTGTTATTTGAAACTGATTGTATGAATCATTTGCAAGTAACAGGAGCCTTTATTGTGGCTTGTGGACTCAGACGTAGTTGTCATTGATCCTCCTAGAAAAGGACTAGATGTATCTCTTATTGATGCATTGCAGAATATATCATCTATCGAGCATAGAGTCTTATCATCATCTGAACGGTTGTTCCTTTTGTGAACTTATCAAGTTTGGTCAATTTTTGAAAATATTTACCTCAGCCATTTTCTGATTTAGTGCAAGTTAACTGCAGCTCAAACTCAGTCCAGGAAGAGAAAAGACCATGGGTTTTACGTGCTAAAGAAGCTTCAGTCCAGATTGGAAGCAAACCACCTCCTGCGAACATCCCTCAATCGATGCCACAAACCCTTATTTATATAAGTTGTGGATGGGAAAGTTTTAAAAAGGTATTTCCATACTTAATATTTTATGGGTGTATTTTGTTTTTTTCTCAAACTTGAATTCTCCTTATGTTAATGCAAGAAGTTGCCTACAGGACTGCAATTCATTGTTGTCTAGTAAGGCATGGCATTTGGAAAAAGCTCATGGTTTTAATTTCTTTCCCGGCACCCAAAGGTATTTATGTTTTTTCTTTATTTTCTTATTTTTTGTTTATTCATTTATTTTTAGTATTTATTATTTCTCAATTTCTTTATTCATGCATGAAAATCTTCCTTTTTCGTCATTCTCGGAATTACTATGTAATTGCATTTCAGCTTTATATTTATGTAGAACCTAAACATTAGATAATTGCATTTCAGCTTTATATTTATGTAGAACCTAAACATTAGATATAGTTTTTGTCCACTTCAAGTACTTGAGTTCTTGAATGTTTCATTACACTTATTGGTTACTTTGAAGAGCACGTACGTACACCTTACTATGTCATCATGCTCATTGCTATCCTTTTTTTTAGGTGCGAGTTCACAGACTTATCTACAACTCATGAATCATGTAGTTGTTTGTTTGTGTGTGTGTGTGGGTGTATCGGATCTTTTAGCTTTTAATTAAGTGTGGGGTGGGGTGAGAGCATATCCAGATGTTCAGTTAGACCTATGAAACATAATCACTGAATCAGGAATGCAAACAATGGGAACACCCAGGAAACTTAAAATTGCATTTTGGAGAGGAGAGATGTATATCTAAACTTGGCTTCTTAATAATACTTAGCATCCCTCAACAAACACACACATACACACTCTCCAACACCCTTCACTGTCTCTTCTCACTTAGGATAACACTACTATATAATGTTATGCCTGGGAAGTGTCAAACATATATCTTTTTCATCATGATTGATCTGTGAGGCCTGTGTGATCAATTAATATGAAAGGCATGTTTGTGCAACCTAAATTTAACCTGCTACTTGATAGAAGCCCTGAAGGCTTAATGTCTGTACTAAAAACATCAGACCAACTTGAGAAAGCTAACCGTTACTCTGTCAGTCAATAAGTGATTTTCCTATACCTTTTTCTCTTCTGGAAATAAATTTAGGATGCATAGTGTGGTCGATTCTATGGTTTGTACGTGCTTCTCCCCCTCCCCCCAAAATGTAAAATAATGTTAATTTGTCATTTGCCAATTGGTTGCAGCATTGAAGTTCTAGCGGTGTTCAAAAGGGGTCCTCAGAAAAAGAAACCAGGAAAGAAAAAGAAAAAACGTGTGCAAGGAGCTGCGAGACATTAATTAGCATGTGGTTCAATACAAGGGGTTTACACCTGCGAAACAGTGTGTAATTTTGAACGGAAGCAAAAAGGTGGATAAATTTAGTGGCAGTCTCAAGTGGAAAAAATGTTAGCATTGCCATTTTTTGTGGGGAATTGTTTTGTACTGGTGGAAAAGGGAAATTTTGTTTCGTCATTTGATCAATTTTGTAGGAAGAATATTAAAATTTGAATGTAGTTTTACATCGCTTTTCATCTCCACGCTTTTGATCCAAGTAATACAAAACTGAGGAATAACTTTTTGCGGAAATAAAAAATCAATTTATCCCAAGAAAGTTGCTTGCCCATTAAATAACTATGAAAGCTTCAATTCCTCTTTTCTCTGCCCTTAGATTTTGCCAGGTGAGGAAAGACTGTCAGAATGTTGTGGGCCAGTAGATCCTGCCTGGTCAAGATCCCAATCACAGGGGATACCTATGAGGAGGTCATATAATTATGTTAGTCATGTACGGTAATTTTAAATAATTAAAGATCAGCTATGACTTTTTTTTTCTCCTAAAATGCTACAATAAAAAAATACTGACATATCTAAATCATGTTTTAATGGTATTAAAATTAATAATGTGCTTAATAAACTCACCCCAGATGCCTGATACTTGGGTACTACAAGCAGATGGCGAAGTTCAACTTGCCTGAAGAGGACCATTGCTTTTGCTACTGACATGCTCTCTAACACTTTAAAGGGAGTTGTATTGGTGAGAGGATGTAGATCAACAAACATCTCCATTTCCTCACTTGTCACAGCCACCTCTTCAATATTCCCTTCTCTCTCAGCCAGCTCTACCCAGGTAAATTTCTCTCTCACTTGCCATTCCTCTGTTCTCCTTCTCTCTTTGAAGAACCACTTCTTCTTTAGTACTTGGATGAGGTGTGCTCTGAGAATCAGTCCATGCAGTTCTGTTACCCCATTGGCCAGTCCTACTCCTACCGGTGGTACTACCCTATCATCCACAACAGGGAAACCATTATGTGTAGTGTTTTTCAAGGCATCTACTATATTTGCTACCTTTTCCACTCCATGGAGGGGAATCACTTCTGGCTTTACATCAACAAGCTCACCCACAGTGAGATTTCTCATCCATGGTTCAGGATTTGCATCCATGAAAGGAAGGCCTTTCAAGTGTAGTATAATCTCATAGATGCTTGGGTTGAAACTGTCTCCTACAGTTTTGGCTATTAGGAGAACAATCATTGTTATTGGTAATAGGAGAAGATTGTTGGTGAGTTCAAGGAAGATCACGCAAAGGGATACAGTCATCCTCATGGAACCAGCCATGAGGGAGGCTGCACCAAGTACTGCAAACAACCCTTGGTCAATGTTTGTATGAGGTCCCATGAAGATGCCAAGAAGGCGGCCATAAGCTGAGCCCATAAGGATGATTGGGAGGAAGAGCCCAGATGGCACTGCAATTCCAAATGTAATTAGCCCTAATATGCAATAGAGTGCAAAGAAAATTAGGAGGGAGGAGGGTTGATATTCGTTAGGGGTGTTGGTTGAGAATATGTTTCGAACGGCATCATCATTAGTTGTAAGCAGCAAAGTAGCAAGATCATTGTAGTAGCCAGATGGGCAGTTGAATTGTTTGAAATTTCCAGAGCGTCCATTGGTGGGGCAGACGGACTCTGGTAGCAATGAATCATCACAAGGGGTGCATTTTGCTAGGAATGGGAGACCATATTGGCACACTGATGTGAAGAGTGCAACTGCAAGACTGAGGAGGAGTTTATGTATTCTTCCTTTCCTGCAATATTGAAGGTAGATACTCTCTCAGCAATCATATAGCTTTGATCTGGTCAATTTTGGTTGTGATGGCACTTGACAGTGTCTTTATGTAGAGTGTTGACCCAGGATACAGTTTGTGGTCAAATGCTACGAGTTTGGTTCATTTAATGCCGTTATTGATTAAATTTGCGGTTTTCTTTCTATTTTAGGCCTGAGCAGCTGAGCACACCTGTTTATTATCTAAATGATACAGTCTCATTGGATGATGCATGTGTGTTGACATAAAGTCGTGTGATTTTTTTCCAGTAATTATGTGACCTTAAAATTCATGATATGCATTGTTTTGAGACTAGAGGCTGGATATGGAATAATGGATGTTTGCTTACTGATTGATGAGATTGTAGAGTCTGAGGACCTTGTGTAGAAGATGATTATAAAGGCTTCCCAATACCCCGCCTATTATTCCAATGACTGCCACAGGGATGATATCCATCGCATGGTACCTCACAGTGACATTGCTTACGTCAAACATGATCAGCCCTCATTTACCAAAAAGGCCACATTTCCCAGAATTGCAGATTTCAATGAAGGCCCTGAGCAATACCACCACAACAGCTGTGCTGAAAAAAGTTCTCCATAGAAGAGCACTTTTCCAACAAATGAAAGAACATTCCTTATGTTTTAGCTGTTAGAAGCCTTATGTATGCTCAGGTATACACAAGACTTGACATTGCTTTTGTGGTTGGAGTGTTGGGAGATATCAAAGCTTAAACCACTGAAAAGCTGCAAAGAAAATGATGAGATACCTTCGAGGAACTAAGAACTACATGTTTATTATAGACAGACTAGACTGACAACTTGGAAGTGATTGCTACTCAGATTCATACTAAATTGGCTACATTGATTCAAGAAAATCGACTTTAGGATATATTTTTCTGCTACCCAATAGAGTTGTGTCTAGGAGAATTATCAAGCAGAGACCTTGACTGCTACTTCCACTATGGAGGATGAGTTCGTTTCGTTGGTATTCGATTAATATTATAATGGATTCAAAAAAAGTCACGTGATATTTGATTAGGATTTTAAAAGATTATTTTAGAATCCGTCCAAATTTATTGATATTCAATTAGGATTTTAAAGAATGAAATCACAATTCAAAAATCCGACGATTTTAATGAATTTTCTATTGGTGTGAATTTCGTGAGACTTTTTAGTGAAAAATATAAATAGGATGTCTCTCTCAAAACCTTATCCTAACCTCTTGAGATTTTTCTAGCGCAACGTTTCAGGTTGACCCACTCGAAATCGGGTTCTCCATTGGAGCTTCATCAAAACTAAAAAATAACTTATTTTTGAGCCATTTTCATTACAAAACCCAGAAACAACAAACCAACGAGATTTTAATATAATCTATCTCAAAAACAACATATTTTTGAGTCATTTTTTTAGAAATTTTTGAAGTTTAAAAGTTATTTTTCAAGCTATGGTTGCAGTTTTTCTTGACACAAAAAAATGTGATTTTTGTATTAAAAACAATATAAAATAGTGAAAAAATAACAGGAACTAAAAGTCTCAAACCAATTTTCGTTTTACATCAATGAAACAATATCAATTTAAACAAAAATTGAAACTTTTATAATATAAACCTTATATTTCGTAACAATACATTCATGAAATTTCTTCACCGTAAGAAAGGATTTCAAACAATTTTTGTGTCAATAGATAACTACAAAATTATTTTTCAAAAGCCCCAAAGCAATTTAAGATTTCAATGTATCGATTGAAAAAAAATTTAAAATTTTTTCTAAACTTTCATCTAATAAAATTCAAAAACTCAGATTTGAATTTTTTTTAAAATATTCAATGTAAATATGCGTATAATATATGATTAGAAAACTTTATGACATAGAACAAAAATCTCAAAATTTTCAAGATCAATTAAAAAAATTCCAAACAAAAGTTTTCACAATGAGCTAATCAATAACAACAGCCATGAATGTAAACAACAACGCCGTCATGGCCGACGTTAAACAACAAATAACAAAATTCCAATGCTTATCCATAGTCTATCTTGACCACCCTAATGGCTAAACGACTCTGCGTTTTTTAATTTGAACAAGTAGCCGTCTTAGTTCAACGCCGAAGAAACCGTGTCACTTTGAATGATCCCCCTCAGCTGGTGTTCCCATTCGACCTTCATGAGGACCTTCGTTGTAGGTGGAAAACGGATTAAAAATAGCACGGACTGTCGCAGCAAAATCGTCCGTGGAATACGGATTAAAAATAGCACGGATTATCGCAGCAAAATCGTCCTCGCCGTCGTCATCATCATCGTAGACGATGGAAGATATGATCTTAGGGGGAAGATCAGAGTCGGAGTCGACGCCAAAGTCATCGGTCACGGGTACAATGGCGTCGCCGGCGGCCAAGAGCCGGTCCTCGGCGTGAATTTGGTCAGAGTGAATGGTGAGATCACCGCAGGGAGTGAAATCGCCGTCACATCGGGTCCCGGCAATGGTGCAGGCTCTGGCGAGCGCGGCCAAGCCTTCATCCACGTCGTCATCGTCTTCTTCCTCAGTGGCGAAGAGGTTTTCTTGTTCATATTCATCGGCGCGATGAGCCATTAGGGTTTTGTCTTCACTTTCTTCACAGAGTGAATGAATGTTGTTGGGTGTTGAAGTTGGAGTTGAAGGCGGTGATTGGCACATTGAAAATCGTGTGCACACAAATACAGGTGTTAAGGGGCCTAGCCGAGCCTATTTAAAACAAAATAAGACAACAAAAATTTATCCAAATAAAATATACAGTCAACAGCATTTCATAAATATTCATAAATTTAATATATATTTAAATAGCATAATATAAAACAAAATCATTCAAAAAGTATATTTAATTAATAAAATGGGATGAAATGGATTGAGGAGAGAGAAAAGGCTATCACAAGTAGTATAAAAAATATAAAATAAAAATATAAAATAATATATTAGGCCAGTCTGAGAGGCTCTAAGGTCGAGCTTTTGAATTGGAGCATAAGGTCTTTTTATTAAATGAACTTTTATACAAGTCCAAGCCTGGTTCCAACAATCAATTTTAGACATAAAAGATCAAGCCTTCATGAGCCGAGCCAAAGACCCCTGGCTCGTTTAGCACCCCTACACACAAAGCAAATAAATAAAGCTTCAAAATATATATGTAAATATATAGGGTTTTATAAGAGTTATGTTGTAGGAAAAATGATTGTGTAATGTTATACAGATTCGTTTTGCGTGCCTTAGTTTTTTTTTTTTGCTTCAAAAAGTGTGGGCTCCACAAAATATTGTGTGTGTAGAAAACTTTTTTGTGTCATGTGACATGATAGATACAAACCCCAAATATATAAATATATATATACTCCCTCGTTAGAGCCGTTATTTTTCAAAGACTCTTTCAAATTTTGCAACAAAATCAAGTGCAATCCAACATTAATTACAGGGCAAATTTGAAACTTCTCGGGTGTATTGGAT